CTTGAATTCGAGTTTTGTAGTGATGATGGGAGTAGCGTTGTGAGTCAATGGCCGCGTCGTAGTAACAGTAAAAGTAGTAGCATAGATTGGTGGTTAGATGGATTAAGTGGTGAACGGTGGTCGAGAGCACGGGGTATTAGCAATGACTCGGTGAGTGGTGAGATAGCTAAAAGCTGCGGGATCAGTAGCACACCGAGCATGAGAGGAACCGTATGCTATGCAGCGCCTGAGCATTTTAACATAGACAACAATGTGTCTGAGAAATGTGATGTCTACAGCTTTGGTGTTCTGTTATTAGTAGTGGTGTCTGGGAGGCGCCCCTTGGAGATGACGGGATCTGCGAGTGAGATCCAGCGGGCAAACCTCATGTCTTGGGCAAGGAAGTTGGCGAGAAGAGGGAGACTTGTTGATCTTGTGGACCAAAATTTGCAATGTTTGGACCAAGAACAAGCAGTATTGTGCATAACGGTGGCCTTGTTGTGTCTGCAAAGATTGCCAGTTTCACGACCATCGATGAAAGAGGTTTTGGGGATGCTTAAAGGAGAAGTGAGTCTGCCGGAGTTGCCTATTGAGTTCTCACCATCGCCGCCTTTAAAGACGATGAGGAAGCACCACCGTTGATAAACGTAGGAATCTATTTGGTCTCTTTTAGGTTAGTGTTAGTTTTAGACGCTCAGATTTTTTTGCTTCAATTTGGTGGACACATAGTTTGGGCTTTCTAACTAAAGAATATAACGATTCAATTGCAAAAAATGTGGTAAGAAATTTTTTGGACCACAGTAATCACTACATTGCCTTCGGTCCATAATACCATGTACTCGTGATTCCTTGTTTTGAACAAATGGTCTTAATCTATACAATTTTTTAACAAACAAACATATGATTTTTTTTTTCGATCTGTTATAATATTAAAACCGAGTAAAATACAAATGGAAAGCCACATAAAAAGCCACAAGACGGCTATCTACCTAGACGATACCAAAACCAAAACTCCATAGTTAAAAAACTAAACCATCAGACAACATAAATGTCTCTGGAAGTACAAAGCAAAACATGGATATGATATAAAACAACCGAACGAGATACCTCTAAAAAGGAGCCAAGGAGAGACACTTGCATAACAAACGGAAAGCGTGGGAACAGCCGCATGCGCGGACCAGCAAAGCTCACAAGAAGCCATCAAGGCAAAAGAAATCTGTGAACTAAGGATCCATATACAACGAATAACCATAACAAATAACCACAAACTAGAATCTAAACTCCTATCCATCTAATCTTTACCCTAAAAAACTAAATCAAGAACTATGCATCCCCATACGAGGTTAGCCTTACAATAACTGACCAAGGAAAACTATAGAACTGATTATTGGCTACACTAAAGGCGATGGAAGAAGGTTGAAAGAAGATTCAACGAATAAACAGAGGCTAAACGAAGAATACCCAACCTCGACATGCAACTACGGCTACACAAACCGAAAATTAGCAAAACCCACCCAAACTTCTAAGAAGCGGACAACTACGCATACTAGACAACTAAACCAAGCTCAACCTAGCCAAACATCCCAAACGAAAAGGCTGATAATGGAAGTACACATGACAACCAAACCGAAGGCACAAACCAAACTAATAGCACAAAATAGACATAGAAAAGCCCAACCCACTCGAAAGCAAAACCAAAATCTAAATAAGAAAAACGAGAAGACCTAATTTGGCTTACAATCAAGCCCTGATCCGAGACCACCATTTACTCAAAGCTCTGACATCTCGCCGTCCTTTGAATTCGATATCTCAACCGAACGAAGATCTGCGAAAAACCAAATCTGACACCGAAGCACGAATCCCTTCAAGACGGAACACTAAACCAAACTGAGATACTACACCGTTTCGACCTCAAGCCTTCGCCGTTCAACAAACCTCAAACCCTAACCACTTTAACCAGAAGAGAAGCACTTTTCCATCTCCACCACTATCAACAAGGACGCGCGCACGAAGAAGATATACTAGAGAGACACACAACTGAAAGGAAAACATATAAACCGGTGACCCCTCATGGCGATTGCCACCGCTGGAGGGCCTAACTATAGATCTACAATCGCTTCTTTTTTGGTTTTATCCAACTCTTATATTTTGATTTTTACAAACATATGATTTCAAATTAATATAAACGTATAAAAATGATATGTATTGTTGATAAAGGTAAAAAAGTTGAATATTTTTCACCAAAACCTATGTTAATGTCATTAGTTTTGATATTTTTATGTGTAAAATTCATCACAACTTATGCAAATGTTATTCATTTTAATATCTTTTTAAGTGTAAAATTGATCTTCATTATTCGTATAAAAAAAGCATCCAAAAATGACAAGAGGGGAATTTGGACAGTTTGGAGGAGGCAACTTTGGAGTTTCACCAGCAGCAGACTGGAGCACTGGAAGGCTTCACCGTTGGTGGCTCTGTGACCGTGAACCCTTAGTTCCACTGGAGTCCCACCTGTTTCTTTAGGCGAAAACAAATTAATTCTGCACAGTCCATCAACTCAACATCAGAGAAAAATGTCAAATGCAGAACTTGGCTCCATTACATTGAGCGACTCAGCCGCAACGGAGGTTATTAGAGATGATGAGAGATTAGATGGGAAGAATTATATTTACTCTCATGAATCATAACATAGGAATTACATGTGTTTATATAGAGATGAGATTT